TCAAGGCACTCCCCTTAATGCCTCAATGCAGTTGCCTAGGTGGTCACTTGGAAGGGAAAGCCAAACTGGCCTCTAAAAAGCTTGGCGTGCTCAGCAGAGCGAGACAGTATTTCATGCCGGCACATCGCTTGCAACTTTACAAAGCGCAAATCCGGGCTCACATGGAAAACTGTTCTCATCTCTGGGCCGGAGCACCCCAGTGCCAGCTCCTTCCACTTGACCGCATCCAGCGCAGAGCGGTTCGAATCGTCGACGACCGAGTTCTTTCTGATCGGCTCGATACACTGGCACTGCGTAGAGATGTTGCATCTCTTTGCGTATTTTATCGCATTTACGAGAGTACTCTGAGGAATTATTCGGACTAATTCCAGCCGCTCAATTTCACCATCGCACATTGCGACAAAACTAACCATACCATCCATACCACCTGGATAATTGGTGGTCCACCACTGTGCGATTTAGAAGATGTTTTCTTCCTCGCACAACTCCCTTGTGGAATCGATTACCACCATTTTATGATAAGGGTAATGTGCTTTTGTTTAGTCTTTTCTTAGTAATTGATAATAAAACTATGTGTCTAATATATTTCATTTAACTTTTATCATGGCTATCGGTCTAGTGAGATATTTGAAACACAGTTTAAAAATATCTGCTTATGCAAGTACCCGATGTCCTGTAAAAATAACATAATAAAACTATATTTTAGTAGTTCAAAAGTCATATATATCTGTACCACATCACTGTGAAAAAAGTTACGGCTTTAGAGAACGTGCAACTTGATATTTTTTCCACCTTCATCTCTGGGTGGTCAGCACTTTATACATATTGTCCTTTTTTAAGATCATGGAGTGGTAATTAGCAAGACATATATTGCTAAGTTTACTATTAATACGAGGTTAAAAGTAATAGCTATTATACAAATTATTACAGCACTGATCTAAAATAATTCAAACTATATACACAGATATTTACATGGTCATATATGCGCACAGATACATGCTAAATCCCAAAACAAGAATTTAGTCTTAAAATCTTTAAAAAAGATATTTCTTAGTAACCAATCACAGCGCGAGGAGCTAAGGGCCCTATCCGCTGTCGGCATGCTTCGATAAGCTATCTTTCTCGCACTTATGGCTACGGATAAGACTTTTTTGTCATATTCATTTGTAAACTTTATTCACGTCTGGGAATTATTTAAAACCGCTAAATTCGTCTGGCGATTTTCAGGTATTATTAAAAATTACTCAATAAATATGTGATTAAAATTCGAGATTGCCAAAAGTATATTCTTTGCGAATTTAAAAAAAAATGTGGAGAGGTCTGGTATTGCTTTATAACCGACAAAAACGTCTGGGATTATTTTGCCGGAATTATATAAAAACTAAATTAAAAGATAAAAAAGAAATCAGGCTGCCACAAAAACATTTTTTGGAATTTTTTTTTTTGCAAATGTTACATACTGCGCAGCAAACGCTCTGCCAGACTCGCGGGACTAGATTCATCAATTGACGAAATTATATTTTTTCACAATTTCAACTCGCCTAAAGGACCTTCCCGAAATTCGTCGCCAGCTCTCAGACAATTGTATTGTATTGTTATTTAAATGAGATATAGCTAAGCATGTGACCTCGCAGGTGCTTGCGAACGTACGCAAGGGGCAAGGGCATTACTGGGGGCAAACCGCTATACCAACTTTACCAATACGAGTACTTTACTTTACTTCACCTGTGTACTTCGGTGTTTTAAGGGAATAAGTATTTGGTCATAATATGTTATATTTAGTTATATTATTTGCTTATATTATTATATTAGGAAGAACCAGCAAGAAACCCAGCGAGACTTTTTTTTCAAATAACAGCCTACAATCATATATGTTACACAATTAACTACACAAAACATCGTCCATAAATTTGTTTATATTACAATAACCCTTTTTAAATAAACTTTGTTTAATTTTTTTTCTATCTTTTAGCAGGTAAACTTCTGTATATTTTCTGGGATTTTGTTGTAAAAGCGTATAAATCGCCCTAAGAATGAATTACTGACTCGGTGTAGTCGAGTACTGGTACTACTAGCTTGTGTCTGTTCCTAGTATTTAAAGAATGAATAACACTTATTTGTATATAACTACCTTTATTTTTGTGTAGACAATTACACGTAAATTTTTGTCAGAGCGACTCTTTAGATCTTAAATCATAGATTGCTCTCATGGCCCTCTTCTGTAAAACAAATATAATTTCAGTGTCAGTCGCGTGTCTCCGTAGCAAAATACTATACGACATTATGGTAGCAGTACAGACATTGGTCTAAAATTGGCGGGGTGTAACGTACTACCAGATTTAAATAAAGGTATTTCTTTACTATGCTTCATTAAATCAGGAAACACACCATATTCGATACAAGTATTAAAGATAACAGCTAGTTGAGGCGCAATTATATCTATTACAGACGCAAAAACTTTAACGGAACCACACATCTGCAGTTTTCTTAATATTAACAGTTTTAAAATATCTTTTGATGATATTTTATGAAATTTAAAATTCTTTGTGTACGCATTTACTTTTTGTTTAAGTAATGGTTCGCCGACGGTAGGAAAAGAATACAGTAATTTAGTGGTTGAGATTGCAATATTCAGTGAAATATTTCTTAAAAACCATTGCAACGTCCTGATCTGTTTCAGTTAATTTGTTCTTAAAACTTAAGCGGAAGCTTAAATTGTGAGAGTTGACCTTACCAGTTTCACTATTAATTATACTCCACGTCATTTTAATCTTATTGGAAGCCATCTTAATTTTGTTGCTGAAATGCAAAGACTTGGCTGTAGAGCACACTCTTTTAAATATTTTGGAATATTTTTTTTTAAATATTTCTTAAATTCGACGCTAGGTTTAAATGACCTTTCATTGTAAAGTTCATTTAACCTTTGTCTGCTCGTATAGACTCCTACTGTCGCCCATTCATTGAATGTCTTCCGACTGTTTAAGGAGAACGTTTTAGAAGTAAAAATAAAATAACATACAAAAAGTTAGTCTCCAAATTTACACATTACAGTAATTAGATGCTGTGGCCAATAAACATCTATCTACTATGCTCGATTAAAAATCAAAAAGCAAATGTGTTCAAGTAAAAATGGACTATGGTTCTCTAAATTCACCATTCAAAACACAGAATAATTAAGCTAGTGCTACATCAAGCTACTATTCTACGGGGAAGGACTGCTTGTTTACTATAAAATACGAAGGAACGAAGTTCTTTAACGCACGGTACGAATTCGATGGATGGGAGCTAGGCGAGATAAAGTGTAAAATTTTTCCGTCCTGACCCCCTTTCTATAGTGCGAGCGCGATGGAATGATGTCCAGCTCCCTCGCACATTTTCTTATCTTGTCATGAAAGATATATTATTTTTAATAACGCTTCATTTTAATAGACGCTAGTAATTCATTTATTTGTATTTGTTAATCAAATATAATACGTTTATCAATAATAATATACTAATTTTTGAATATTAATTTTTGGTCCGATCTACGCAGAACGAGCTTACAGTATCTTGAAGTCTTGTATTCTTGGGTTTGGAATTTTATTAATTGTAGGATCACAAACAGATAACAGCACCCATCCATCATCTCTATTGAAATTAGGATGTTTTTTAATTTCAATAGCCTCGCGAATCATCATTGGTAGGAATCGGTGTTCTTTTGCGAGGATTTGTGGTTTATCAAATTTAATGTTATCGCTCGCGATATCATCCATAGCGAGAGTGATCTATTATTGCGATGTGCGATGGTGAAATTGAGCGGCTGGAATTAGTCCGCACAATTCTTCAGAGCTCTACCCGTGATAGATGCGATAAAATACGCAAAAAGATGCAACATCCCTACGCAGTGCCAGTTAGTCAAGCCGATCGGAAAGAACTCGGTCGTCGACGATTGGAACCGCTCTGCGCTGGATGCGGTCAAGTGGATGGAGCTGGCACTGGAGAGCCCTGCCCAGAGATGAGAACAGTATTCGATGTGAGTTCGAACCTGCGCCTTGAAAAGTTGCAAGCGGTGTGCCGGCATGAAATACTGTCCCGTTTTGCTGAACACGCCAAGCTTTTTATTTGGCCTTCTCTTCAAAGTGACTACGAAACTACGCGGTGCTCGATATGTCAACACCGAGGATTTCGATACTGGCTGAGGCAACAAGTTGACTATCTTGTAACTGAGGAGATACAACAATGGGATTCTTTTTAGCTGTAAACGCGCAAACTTGTATCATCTGGGGATTGAACTGGAATAGATTTAGCCACCCCCAGTCTGAGACTTTGTTCACCAAAGTCTCGACTTCAGATAAAAGTTTGTTTTGGTACTCGGCGACGTTTTTCGAGAAATATTTGCACTGCCGGTATATAAAGCATAACCAGTGCTGTCGTCTGCATAGCAATGAATGTTACCGGTGTGCAACATATCATTGAAATGCAGTCGAAACAGCGTTGGTGATTGTTGTTGATGGTTGGCACGCAGCCTTGTGGAACACCAGCGTTAATGGGCTTGTAATTGGAGCATGCACCGTCTAGTATAATCTTGATGCTCCGGTCTGCAAGAAAACTGGTGATCCAATTGCACAATTTCTCGGGAAGCAGATACAAAGGGAGCTTCGAAAGAAGCGTTTTGTGCCAAACTCGATTGAAGGTCTTTGCTATGTCCAAACTAACTGCAACGCTGCTCTAATTACATATTTATAATCCTTTTAAGGTTTGTGTGCAACTATGAGGACAGATGGCACTAAGTCGAATTATTTAGTAAGGTTTATTTGCACAGTTGGTCAAAATCTTTTTGTAGTTTACTTTTTTCTGTATTAGGGTCGTGATCTGCAACAATTAGGCAGATGTCATACATGTACATATTAATGTAGATATATTTACACACACACTATGTTTGTATATATTAGTATTTATATACTGTATTTTCTTTTAATTACAACAGGTATGCGATTCCACTGGAACTTTTAATGACATAGCCACATCTGTCTCCCCGTGGATAGCAGCGATATTCTTGAAAAACGGCACAAGCGACCAATTCGAGTATTATTGCGACGGTGTGTTATTGTCAGATAGGTATATTCTCACAGGTAAGTAAGCAGGGAGTGAACATCCCTGCATTTTGCATTGGTTTAACGTTAATAATCTGCATTTGAACGGAAATAAAACTAATTGTGTTAAATTTACAACAACGAATGTTAAAATTCTGAATACCAATGTGTTTTTAAATGGGGAGGATTTGAGCCCTGTTGTATCCACTGTTTTTCTTGGCATCACTCTTGACGCAAAGTTTCAGTGGGGCCCCCATATATCCAAATTAGCAAGCAGACTAAGTTCTGCAACCTATGCTGTAAAAAAGATTAGAGGTCTCACTAGTGTCGAGACAGCTAGATTAGTTTATTTTAGTTATTTCCATAGCATAATGTCTTATGGGATTTTGCTATGGGGAAATGCGGCTGATTCAGAAACTATTTTTGTTTTACAGAAGAGGGCCATTAAAGCTATTTACAATCTAAAACCCAGAGAGTCTCTTAGAGATAAATTTAAAGAAATTAATATATTAACTTTGGCCTCTCAGTATATTTACGAAAATTTAATGTATGTTCACAAAAACAAAGATAGTTTTAGTAAAAAAAGTGATATACATTCTGTAAACACTAGGAACAAACACAAGCTAGTGATGCCAGTTTCTCGACTCCACAGAGTCAGTAATTCATTCTTGGGGCAATGTATACGCTATTACCACAAGGTCCCGGAAAGTGTACAGGTTCTCTCTATTACCAAGTTTAAATGTTTTATTAAGCTGAAACTGTATAAAAAGGGGTAATTATAGTATAAATGAATACATGGTTGATAATAACCCCTGGGAATGAGGTGGTCGCTTCCAAGCAGTTTCTAAAGTAAATTTTGTAAATAGTTCGTAATCATTTATATTGTAAAATTTATTTAAAAAAAGTCCCGCTGGGTTTCTTGCTGGTTCTTCCCAGGACAGAGGGTTTTTTCGAACCAGTGGTAAAGTAAAAAATGACTTTCAATAAGAATTACACATGTAATGTATATTGAATAAAAAATATTCTATTCTATTCTATTCTATTCTATTCTATCCTCCTTTACGTACATAATATATATTTTTCAATATTTTCTTTTCTACGGCTTGCTCATTTAACCGTGTTAGCTCAGAGGTTAAGCGTTCGCTGTAAATTATACAGTACTCGAGTAACCCGGGTTCGATCCCCGCCGGCACCAATATTTATTTATAGAATAAGGGTGACAAACGAGCATATTACGCAGTCCACTTAATTGTAGTGGATGTGCCTCATAGACATTTACATCTATCTTTGATTAAAACTCAAAATGCAGATGGGTTGTCACCCCTTAGTACTAAGAATGATAATCGGTCTTTTTATAGGATAAGGGTGACAAACGAGCACACAGTCCACCTGATGGTAAGTGGTTGCTGCGGCCCATAGACATCTACGTCTATTCTCGATTACGAATCGAAATGAAGATGCGTTGTCACCCGTGAGGACTAAGGTTAATACCTCGTTTCTAGTAAAAAGGGTCCCGGTTCTCTACACTCAACATACGAAACACAGCAGCGTTGAGTTGATATTTTACGTTGGTATTCTGTGAGAGCGTGGTCATTACCCGGTCAAGCCGACCCGGTATGCATTTTGATTCGTACTCGAAGATAGATGTCTATGGGCAACAGTAACCACTTACCACCAGGAGGACTGTGTGCTCGTTTGTCACCCTTATCCTATAAAAAAAAAGTAATTTTTGGACTCGGTACCAGCCAAGGTATTAAAAACAATAGGTAAACTTACGAGATACCTATATAGTAAAGTTTTTGCGGAATTTTTGCGGTAATGTTTAAAACCTAGGATAGTACTACTTCGAAAGTAAAAGTGGTGAAATTTTAAACGGAAAGAAAAAAAAATAAGCCGCTATAGCTACAATAAAGGCTGCAATTTAAAATTGGTTTATTTTAACTACATGTTTATTCTTTGTTCCTTGGTTGTATACTCTTACGATTAATTATTTTACTATATATATATATATATATATATATATATATATATATATATATATATATATATATATATATATATATATATATATATTAATATATACAGATTTTCTAATCTTCAATAAAATATATTCATGCGATAAAATAAAATATAAATAAATTAAATAATGTTGTTGTGATAAATGTTGCCTTAGGTCAAATAAAATGTCAATTTAAAAGTTGTTACGTGGAAGAGCAATGCTGCAGCTACATTATAGCTGCGGCACGAAAGTATCGACCTAAGAGGGCAAGAGTCACTCTCATATAATACAAGCATAAAATAACCGCTCAATATTGCTGTATTTCGTGTGATGTGTAGAGAAGCGGAGACCCTTTTATTTGTTGTACTGGTTTCCAGATCAGGCAATCAGCTTAATCCTTAGGGGTGACTACCATTTTTATAGAATAAGGTTGACAAATGAGTACACAGTCCATCTGATAGTAAACGAATGCTGAAGCCCAACATTTACATTTATCATCGAATCAAAATGCAGATTTGTTCACCACTAAGGACTAAAATAGAATGCCTTGTTTCGATTGAAAATATTATGTACGTTCACCATACGAAACATGTCAACATTAAGTTTCTAATTTACACTGGTATTACGTGAGAGCAAGATCATACGCCTGTGGAACCAACCCCTTCGTACTGTAACCATAATATAAAGCTGCAGCGTGGCTCTACTACGTGAAATGACTGCATTTTAATTCTTTATTTAGGAAAAATGTAGATGTTTTTGGGACTTTTACGATATCCATGGAATGATAAGGGGCAGTGTTCGCAAGAATACATTTAGTGGCTTTAATTAATACAAATTTGTAATTTCAGCTGCTCGATGTGTTATTCGAAACGATGCAACTGTTGACGCTGAGAATGTCATCGTTCTATTGGGAAAGAAATCATTGCTTTCATTAGGAGAGAACGAGAGGGCTGTTAAGGTAAAGTAGATAGACCATTAAATAAATTAGCATTTTTGGTAACAACTTTCCGTTCTAAAGCAATCACGGAACACAGTAATCAGTAGCCACAAAGTCAGTTACAAGAACGTTGTAAATTCCTATACAACCTGTGATTTAAGTAACTGCTACGGAGTTTGACATCCGTTCTGATCGAAACTCATTGGTGAAGCTGAAAATCCCACACGTCTTTTGTACCGAACTTGCGCCTTTTTGAAAATTATGTTTTTGGTAGGATACAATTACCATTTATTTAAATAAAATTAGTTTTACGGATGTTATCGCGTATATTAACTTATTTTATATTCATTTAGAGCAATTTACATCACCTGGACTTTACTGGGGGGACTGAGGTGTATGACTTCCTAATGTCATAGTTGACCACGGCTACCTCTAGATTAAAAATGATTCATTTTTTTCCGATCTACGCAGTATAAACTTACAGTATCTTGAAGTCTTATAGTTGCATGTTTGGGTTGGGATTTAATTTTATTAATTATGGGATTCCAAGCAGATGGTAGCACCCAGCCATCTTCTCTATTGAAATTAGGATGTTTTTGATTTCAATAGCCTCGCGAATCATCCTTGGAAGGAATCGGTGTTCTTTAGAGAGGATTTGTGGTCTATCAAATCTAATGTAGTAACGGGGGCAATCCTGTACGTGTTCACAGACTGCAGACTTCCCAGAGCATCCATTCTTCACATCCGCTTTTTTCGGGGTTTTTATGGATCTTTTAGTTTGTCCTATATTTGACCACATTCACAATCAAGCTTGTACACTCCTGCATCTTGCAGAGGGACATTTCACTTGACTGATGGTAAAAACTGACTAATCTTCTTCGTAAACCTATTTAATATAAAAATTAGTAAAACTAGTTTTATTTAAATGCGTAGTATTCGCGTAAATAAAAAAATCATTATACAACTACCACCACTTAAATTTAGTGGATGTCAAGAGGATTATAGAACAGAACTAAATATATTCAACTAGTTATTCCTTGCGACTTCGTCCGCATGGAGTTTACTATGGTTGGGTTTAATGTATTTGATTTTTTTCCCCGGAACCCTGTTTTTCTAAAATAAAAGTAGCGTTTGTTACTCCTATGACACCAATTATCTGCCAGAGAAAGTCATCAAAATTGGTTTCGAAGATTAGTTGGAACAAACAGACTGACAGACAAATCATTTAAAAAAAGTTTTTTTATTTTATAAGTACCGTATATACTTTCATATGCATTTAATAAAAATATGTTATTCTGTCATTAAAAACAGATACTTAAATTATTTTTATTTGTATAGATAAAAAAATGAAATTACAAAGCAATAATTTAATCATCTGAATTTTGTACATAAAAATAAGTGATTTGAGGATCACGTTTCATATCGGCATATCCAAAATGTTTTTCGAGCCACAACTATGGCGCAGTTCGCTACGTGTTATTAATGAGGCACAAATATTTAGTACAGTAATGTTTTGTATTTTTAATTTTCCATTGTTATTTCTTTTTTTTATGCCGACTTCCAATAAGGAGATGGTACTGAATTCGACTGTATGTTTTTTTAAACGTGTTACCTCATAATTTTTTACTGGGTGAACCGATTTCGATGATTCCTTTTTTATTTGAAAGTTGATACTTTTTTGAATTTGATAAAGGTCAGACCAATAGTTATTGAGTTATTCTTAATAACTAATATTGAAGTCGGCTGTGCAAAATTTTTAATTTTAAATTATTTCATTACAGATTAGCAAAATAATACTTCACGAAAACTATACGAACAAAAACGATAAAGTGGAAAACGATCTCGCAATTCTAGAAATAGAAGAACCGATTTCGTTTAATGATGCAGCACAGTCAGCATGTGTGTTGGTAGATGAAACATCGGACGATTTTATTGAAAATAATCTAGAAATAGCTGTAAGTGAATTGAACTTTGCCGTGTAGTGATAACGTAAGAGAATCCACCTTTCTATTATAATAACAATATTGTCCTCTTGACCGAATTTCGATCAATGCAGTCAGTCTCACCGGAGACTAGCCATCTAAGTAGGATAGGATTATAGTGTCCGAATGTTTTATTTTTTACAGAATAAGAATGAGGGTGGCACCCAAGCATACAGTCCAACTGATGGTAAGTGGATGCTGTGGCCAAAGACATCTATACTAGATAAAGAATCAAAATGCAGATGTGTTGTCATCCCTGAGGACTTAGATGAAGTGTATCATTACTATTGAAATGGGTGGCCGGAGTGAGATCAAACACACAGCCAACTTTCTGATTTCGGGCTGATATTGAAAATTTATTGACAGAAAATCCCAATAAGTGATTTTGGCCCAACCGGCCCGGAACTCATGATCAGCAATTAGTTTAACGGCCATTGGACTAAAGAGGCAGCTATATCACCGTGTGAGACGTAATATGTGACAGAGAAAAACTGAAACAAGAGACTAGTAGCAGCCTCTTCCTGATAAACACTCAAAATAGTATCCCCCTATTGGTCAACCTATGGGCAAGACATATGTCCAGCTGTCGACATCTGATAGGGTGTGATAGATAAATAAATAAAACTTAAGGGCTGTAATGGGGATACTCCAACGTATTCTACAAATAAACCATGCTTTGAAAGAAATAAGGGAGAAAATAAAGCAACTGGATGATTAAGCAACTGATGGTTACTGGATGTTGTGGCCCATAGATACCTACAACCTATCCTCAATTAAGGTGGAATATTTCATTACCAAAGATAGTTTTTTGTTCTATCACCATACGAAACACAGCATACCATTATTCATTAACGTATAACATACTCACTAACGGTTGTGACTCTAGTGAACACTTGATGGTAGATTAAACACTCACAAATTATACCAATTTTAAGTGGTAGGTTACTATATAGCTTCTTTATGACAGCAGCAAAATATTTAAAATAACAGCATTATGTTTATGTGTTGCGTATGGTGAGTGCCGAGAACCGAATACCCTTTTTATTGTTTAAAACACATTCGATTTGGGACCTCAGAAGAGACAACGCATTCGTTTACCATCAGGTGAAATGCTTGCTCCCTAATCACCCTTATTTGTATAAAATACTTCGTTGCAACTGATTTGATAGTTTCGTTTACAGTAAAATACGATTTCTTTGAGACACTTTACATAGACGTAGGAATATCCACTACCCTAAATCATCCCGTAGGTGTTGTAAGAGGTGACAAAGGGAAACTGAAACAGGAACGGGCAGCAGCATCTTCCTGATAACAACCTAAAGTAATAAATAAACTGCGGTTGAAAACCTGCCCGTCAATTGAAGCAACTATGGCGAAATTCTCCCTTATGAAGCAGCCTATGCGGGAGGCCTATATTCAAAAGTGGATTTCCGATAGGCTGTAATGAATGAAAATTGCGAACGGCTAGTGCCATTTCACTGTTACACTTCTAGTAGAAGAAAGTTAGCCTCATATAAACATTTAATATTAATTCCAGACAACCGGTTGGGCAATAACCGGTGAATTGACATTTATACCCTTCGATAAAGAAAAAAGTAAAAAATTTAACAACGGCTCTAGAGTGGATAATGTCTTTTGTGCAAATTATAATAATGGTGAGTTACAAAATAAGTTACTTCTTACCCGTCTACCCCATGAGAAAGCTAATGTTTTCGAATCTATGTATGTAAAAATTATAAAATATGATGTTGGTTTGAAGTTAATAAAGCCTAAAAAAGCTATCATTTTTAAGGTTCCATCCATCAGATCAGACCTCAGACAGGTCAGAACTTTGAATTGTTTGTATGTGTCAATATCCTTAACAATTTACTTAGTCGAAGGAATCTAACCATAACCTTTTACGGCTCTTTGCAATGAACGATTCGACTAGGTTTTATTTTTCTCAGTAACTGGATTAAATCAAACCGCCAGATAGGTAATGAAAGGAAGTTTATTTTCCATTTTTATAATATGGCAAGTTCTGAATTATTTGGGTTTCAATCAGTGTTTGCACGCCTTTGTCGTTCTATCTCCTGTAAGAAAAATATTGATAGCAATGATTAATTGTTTCGTGTGTGAGTGGCGTTTTTGCAGCGATTGTCCAGAATCTTACCGTATTTGAGGCCATTTATATTTCAACTTTTCATATGTTATCATATAAAAAAAAACTAACGTAGTTACTCAGTGATTCACACCGATAATGAACTTTCGATCTCGTCCGTCACACACGAACGATGAAATCGAATTATTTCTCCACAGGGCGTCCACTGCGCGCGTGTCTGTTTCATCCACATTCAAGAGCTTCGTTACGTATTGCGGGCTATCTGCTACACGCGTCGCGTGCGACGTTTCCTCAAGAAAGCTACGCAGCGCATGATCTCGCTCGTGGTTTTCTTTCATACAAATAAATGAGCGCCACTGCATAACGTGAACTGGAAGTGTCGTGAAAGTACACTCAATTTTAAACTTAAGTTTAGGGTAATTAATGACTTATTATTGACCAGCATCTATATCTTTATGGAATTGATCTCCTATATTCCATATTATTACTACTGCTGTGCGAGGAAGAAAACTTCTATCAAGTCGCACAGTGGTGGATAGCCATCCATCCAGATTGCATGGATGGTACCGCGGGGTTTGTCTCGATGTGTGATGGTGAAATGAAGTGGCTGGAATTAGTCCGAACAATTACTATGGACACTAGCCGTGCTAGATACAATAGAATATGCAAAGAGATGCAACATCTCTTCGCAGCGCAAGTCATGCCGATCAGAAATAATTACACTACCGATAAAAAGGAAGACTAAGAGAGAATTCTTTAAAAATATGTCTTCCGAACACCGTAGGTTTCAAATTAATATTTTCAAAGAATTATATTTTCTTCATAAAAATTGCAATTATTATAATACAACTAAATTGATTGTCAAAAAAAAACATGTATGCAGTTCACATGCGGTAGAAATGAAACCTTCATAAAAATACTGCACATTATTTTATCTATCTTCCGTCTCATTCTTTCGCAGGCTAAATCCTATAGATGTTTATGTTTGTCTCTTTTTAATGTCGCTTTTTAGTTTCATCGCTTTTCAAATCACAACGATTCTAAAGAAGATTTCACTTCAAAAATGGACAAGACAAAACAACACTGACGATTTTTTTTATAGGAGAGGGAGCAAACGAGCATGCGGCTCACCTGATGGTAAGTGACTACCGCCGCCCATGAACAACTGCAACGCCAGGGGAACCAGGGCATTTGCAGATGCATTGCCGGCCTTTTAAAAAGGAGTAGGCTCTTTTCTTGAGGGTCCCTAAGTCGTATTGGTCCGGAAAAATCGCTGATGGTAATCGATTTCACAAGGAAGTCGTGACGATAATCAGATTACATTCACTTATTATAAGATCAAACAATGTTGAGAACTTGTTCGACATTAACGGGGTTGTCAGTTTTTTTTATAGGATAAAGGTGACAAACGAGCACACAGTCCACCTACATCTATCTTCGATTACGTATCAAAATGTAGATGCGATGTCACCCGTCCTACCATGTAGGAAAAGTTGTAATCTTCCACCGATTTTTAGTTAAAAATTGGATACGATATCGTCGCACATGATGTATAAATGTCATCTGATTTTAACATCGTACAACCAATCATGACTATAATCGTCTCGTACATGCTGCCCATTATAAAACCACACTGTAATTGGGCTTAGTTGAAAATACATACGCACATACATAAACTCTTATGCCTGTCCCCCAGGGGTACACAGAGTCTATAGACTTCCATTAGGAATGATCCTGACAGGTTAAGGAAAGTGTCACTTGTCGGAAATGTACACATATAAAATTGCCCTAAACACTAATAAATGTTTTAGATGTGACAGTCTGCCCCAGCTTTGGAGGTGTCTTTGTAAGCAGAGCTGTAGACAACATCTGGTACCTCCGTGGCCTGCGCACTGGTGATCCCACACAAAAGTCATTTTGTATCAACACTGGAGTGCTCTTCACCAATTTGCTTCAATATTTAGAATGGATTCAGATTTATATGTAACATTAAAATTGATGACACATAGCTACATCGTTTAATTTACACAGGTAGATGTAAAAACAGACTGGTCCGTTTTTTTTTTATGAAATTGAAGTGACACACGAATTAACAAATTCAGTAAGTTACTAACTGCAGCACGTGTCCAAACACCTGCAGCCAACTTCAAACAAAGGTTACCACAGATATGATATATTCAAGGTTAATGAGGATCAAGTTTAAATGCCTTACAGTCTGTTTACCCTTTATAACGGAGATCGTCACTGATCTTAGATAAAAATTTCAAGAAATAAATATATTAACTTTGGCCTCTCAGTATTTTTTCAGGAAAATCAACCTTTATCCTCTACAGATTGAATACGAATCAGCAGCATTAAGCTGCTATTTTGATTTTTATTATTGTGTGAACGTGGTCCTAACCCGGTCGAGCCAACCCATTCTTGCTACAACTATCAAACAGCTGCAGCTTAGCTCTACCACACATTAATTAAAGAAAAGCTGTATAAAAATGTATTATATTAAACATGAATGAAGATTATCACTACCATGTCGTTTCTTATGTATAATTATTTTATTATTATATTAGGTAATAAGTTAGGTATTAAATTATTATATACAAAGAGCCCCATTGTGTTTCTCGCTGGTTCTTCCCAAACAGAGGTTTTTTTCTGAACTAGTGGTGAAACTATTTACCTTAAAAATATTTTGTAATCAATTATGAATAAAAATATTCTATTCTATTATAGACACTGCTACTTAGCCGTAAAAATGGGTACAAGGGAATTTATCCAGAAGGAATTCTAGGTAGCAAAGTTGATAGCGAAAATTGTCCGTGAAGACATCACATTATATACTATATTAATGGTATAATAATATACCATTAAATTAGCTAACCATTTGTTCGCACATACTGTTCCCCGCTTCCGAGATTAACAAATAAAGTAATAAGCTTTAGCATTTCTTTATTAATATTTACAAGAAAACATGTTTGACGCACGTGGCTCAGGACAGTGCTTTGTTAGTTTTTTTTTATAGGTGAGGGGGCAAACGAGCATGCGGCTCACCTGATGGTAAGTGACTACCGCCGTCTATGAACAACTGCAACACCAGGGAGGGAATTGCAGATGTGTTGCCGGCCTTTAAAAAAGTTTTACGCTCTTTTCTTGAAGGTCCCTAACTCGCATCGGTCCGGAATAATCGCTGATGGTAATCGATTCCACAAGGAAGTCGTGCGAGGAAGGAAACAACTTCTAAATCGCACAGTGGTGGACCGCCAATCGTCCAGATGGTGTGGATGGTATCGGGAGTTCTGCCGCGATGTGCCTTCGTGAAATTTGGCGGCTGGGATTAATCCGAACAATTCCTCAGAGCACTCCCCATGGTAGATGCGAAAGAAAATGCTAAGGGATGCAACATCTCTTCGCGGTGCCAATGAATCGAGCCGATCGGAAGGGACTCGGTCGTCGACGATTCGAGCCGCTCTGCACTGGATGCGGTCAAGTGTAAGGGGTTGGCACTGGGGAGCCCCTGCTTAGAGATGGTAACAGTATTCCATGTGAGGCTGCGCCTTGTAAAGTTGCAGGCGGTGTGCCGACATGAAATACTGTCCCGCTCTGCTGAGCACGCCAAGCTTTTTAGAGGCAAATTTAGCCTTCTCTTCCAAGTGACCACGAAACTGCACGTCACTCGATATGTCGACACCAAGGATACCGATACTGGCCGAGACAACAAGTGCCTTGAAACTGAGGAGATACGACAAAGGGATTCTTTTTAGCGGTAAACGCGCAAACTTGTGTCTTCTGGGGATTGAACTGGACTAGATTTAGTCGCCCCCAGTCTGAGACTGTGTTCAACAAAGTCTCGACTTCAGACACAAGTTTGTTTCGGTACTGGCGACGTTTTCCCGAGAAATATTGGCACGGCCGGTGTATAGAGCATCACCAGTGCTGTCATCCGCATAGCGATGAATGTTACCAGTTAGCAACATATCATTGATATGCAGAAGAAACAGCGTTGGTGACACACAGCCTAGTGGAACACCAGCGTTAATAGGCTTGTAGTCGAGCATGCACCGTCTACAACGACCTTGATGCTCCGATCTGCAAGGAAGCTGGTGATCCAATTGCACAATTTCTCGGGAAGCCCATAGGAAGGGTGCTTCGAAAGAAGCGCTTTGTGCCAAACCTGATCGAAGGCCTTCGCAATAACCAAACTAACGGCCAATGCCTCCTCTTTGGACTCTACTGCCTCCGCCCATCTATGGGTCAGGTAGACCAGAAGATCACCAGCTGATCGACCTCGACGAAAACCGTATTGTATTGGTCACTAATCAGCTGATGATCCTCAAGGTACCGCATGAGCTGGCAGTTAATAATGGATTCCATTATTTTGGAGAACAAGGAGGTGATCGCGATAGGCCTAAAGTTAGACGGGTCTGAGCGGTCGCCTTTTTTAGGGATCGGGTGGACAAAAGCTGTCTTCCATGAATTCGGGGTTTCTCTCTTCTAGCTCTTAAAATGCCTCTGAAGATCTTTCCCTTCATTGAGAGAATTTGCGTGTCACGTGGATTGACGATCGCAATACCACACATCACTTACCTTTGAAGCTGTTGCACGACGTCAGTCCAGCCATTTTACGTATGGCGTAAACGAGTTGATTATACCGCCATCTGTCGGTAGCCATAAGCTGTTGATTTTACTTTCGAACTTTGTATTCCACCATTTCTCTTACAAAACCCCCGGCAAGTAATGGTATTCACCTATGCCGCCATCACACTGCAACCAGCTTTAGTTAATGATGTGGGTATCCGTAAAATGCTTAAGTAATAAGTAATGTTATTTAAAATTGCTGAACGGAGCCATTTTGTACATAACCGTCACAACTAAAAATTTAAATCGATTTTAGTAGAGTACGGTGTAGCCTAAATGTAAAAGAACCCATTCACATGAACATAATAAACTTACTTTATTGGTTATGAGTATTCATTATAGTATTCTCGCCTGGTAGGGAAGTATAAATTTAATATAAAAATGATAAATAAGATAAAATGAAATATGTTTTAAATATCATACCATATAAAGTAAAATAATTAAAAAAATACTTAAGATGGAAGCCAGCAGGGGAGACCAAACGGCGGAAGATTAGAGGTAAAAGGAAAGAAACCGGCAGACGATGCGGGCGATGTGAAGGAGCAATTTATTAAAAATAAATAAAAAAATAATAAATAAATAAGATATTATTTATTTCGAATAAAATACTAATACATATGAAATAAATAAATAAATGATTAAAATCCCACCCAGACGGAGACCACCCGCAGGGATGACCGAACGGCCGAGTGAGTTTTTACTGTAATAAATTACAACGCAATTTAAAACTGAAAATAAATCAATGGGCGCTACTTATTTTTTTTATCATCATCATCATCATCATTACAGCCTTTCATAAGTCCACTGCTGAACATAGGCCTCCCCCAAAGAATGCCACAAAGCACGGTCCTGAGCCACCTGCATCCATCGACTTCCTGCATGTCTTACCAGGTCGTCACTCCATCTAGTGGGGGTCGCCCTACACTTCGCCTACCGATACGAGGCTGCCACTCGAGAACCTTTCTTCCCCATCGGTTGTCGGTTCTTCGAGCTATATGGCCGGCCCACTGCTACTTCAGCTTACTAATCTGTTGAGCTACGTCGGTTACTCTGGTTCTACTGCGGATATCCTCACTTCTAAGTTTATCACGCAGAGAAACTCCGAGCATAGCCCTCTCCATAGCTCGCTGAGTGACCTAGAGCTTCCTCATACGGCCAGCAGTGAAGGACCACGTCTCAGATCCGTAAGTCATCACTGGCAACACGCACTAGTTTTCTTGGTAAACACTAAATTAAAAATGAGAAATTTATCGGAAACTTTCCGTTGTTTTATTTAATTTTTAAACGCCCAATATATTCCCATATTTTAATTTTACAACTCGGTTGACAAATTATTATGGTAAGAGAGCTGATGATAGAAATTATAAAATAATAACGTCTTTCGGCACATTATGTAAAAATGTAAGTAAATTTTTACATATGAATAAAATTTAAGTCTCTTTTTGTACTGCCTTTTTTCAAGCTCAGGGGGTTATTTGAATGCTATTAAGATATGAAAAGCCATTTGCAAAAATTTTCTCAATCTGTCGGGCCAATCTTCGGAATGGCTGGACCGATTGTGACGAAACCAAAATATGTGATAAAAAGTTGCTTCTGCTACTCAAATAATGTTGCAAGAAATAGTTAAGATATTCTGAATTTGTAAGGCAATATTGAATAATGTCATCATGTCCGTTTTTAAGAAGCATACCATAATAGCCTATCAGAAGACTACTGCTGAACATAGGCTTCTCCTGTGGGTTGCCACAAAGAGGCGATATTTGCTACGCTTAGCGGGTTGGTTGGTAACTGCAGGCTTTTAGGTATTATTTTGTTACGCTAACGATTTTTAAAAGATTTTAAAAACAAATTTTTAAATTCGAAAAAATGAAATGGAAGGCTGTCTATCTATTTCTTATTCATTTAAACAAAAAACCGCATTGTATTTTATTTTTATGCATATAAATATATATTAATAAATAACTTACTTCATAAAAATCAATTTGGTTTAACAAGGGGTCGCTCGACAACTGATGCAGGTGTTGAGCTGATTAAATATATATTTAATGCATGGGAGAATTTACAGGATGCTTTGGGTATATTTTGTGACCTATCCAAGGCCTTCGATTGTGTTCACCATGAAACATTAATCAGGAAACTTCACCACTACGGTGTAAGTAGTGATGCTCTTAAATTAATTATTTCATATTTAAGTAAGAGAACGCAAAAAGTTGTCATTAACAGTATGAGCTCTTCCAGGTCGATGGTACAAATGAGCGTGCCTCAAGGCTCAATTCTCGGCCCCTTTCTGTTTCTTGTATACATTAATGACTTACCTTACATAGTAGGGCATAACCATGATATAGTATTATTTGCAGA